GACTTTGACGTCCGGATCCACGTTCCGTCCGGAAACGGCGCCCTCGATGAGGCGTTCCGGTCGCTTTGACTCTGTCCCACGCGGTCCGGCTCTCTCCCCGGCCCCGCCCCTCTCCCCGGCCCCGCCCACTTCCGCCCCCGCCCCCGCCTGGCCCCGCCCCTGGCCCGTGTGGTTCGGCTGTCTCCCCGCCCAGGCCCCGCCCCCGTCCCTGCCCCGCTCGGGGCCCAGCGAGGATTCTCGGCGGACCGGAGCCTGCGCGGAGCCGCCTCACCCGGCAGTGGTAGCGATGTAAGGAGCAGAGTCCCAGGGTCCCTCTGCCTTTCCCTCCCGACAGTCCCTTTCTGATGCCCCAGTTGTCATTTCCTCAGCCCTCGTCGCCCTCTAATTCGCGAGCCGGGCCGAGGCAGGTGGATGCAGGGACGCAAGGGGACCTCCAGTCCAGCCGACTTTAGGCACCTACACGAGAGAGCTTTTTTGTTTTCTTTTTCTGCTTTTAACTGAAGTGAAATTCACCCAACATGAAGTTAACCATTGTAAGGTGAAAATTTGGTGGCGTTTAGTACATTTACAACGTTTCGCAAATACCAACGTTATTTAGTGCGGAAACTTCTATCGCCTTGAAAGGAAACCCCAGCCCCGTTTAGCAGTTGCTCCCATTCTCCCCTTTCCCAGCCCCTAGCAACCACTAGTCGGCTTTGTCTCTGTGGATTTACCTACCATGCACATTTCATATCGTGGAATCATACTTGTGATCTTTTGTATCTGGCCTCTTCTACTTACTGTAATATCTTTGAGGTTCTTCGGCTTGTAGCATATATTAGAACTTCAGTCCTTCTTATGGCTGAATAATATTACATTGTATATAACGCGTTGTTTATCCATTCATTTGTTGATGGACATTTGATTGTTTCTACCTATTGGCTATTGTGAATAGTGCTGCTATGAACACAAACATGTATTTGTTTGAGTACTTATTTTCTTTTCTTTTGAATATATACCTAGGAGTGAAATTGCTGGGTCAAATTGCATGTGCCCTTGACTGGAATCGAACCCAGGACCAGTCCGCAGGCCGGTGCTCTATCTACTGAGCCAAACCAGCTAGGGCTTGCTCAGATTTTAAAATTATTATCCAAAGGAAGGTTATTCCACCATTTCCAAAAACTAGAACCTCATTATATTCTTCTGCCTACTTATATATTTGCAATTTTCCATAATTTTAAACAGAAGAATGAGGGGAAAATGGTTGTATGCATGTCTTAATTTTTCTCATCTCATTAATCCGAAGGCTGAAAATTAGTTTCCTTCTCTTGACATGGCAGTTTAAAAAGTAAAATGAATAAAAAGGAAAGTTGTCAAAACGTTTGATGTGGGGGGTGGGGAAAGAACCACAACCCTAGCTGCTAGGAAGTAAGGAAACCTGTTATAGGTTTGTTCCACCACATGCAGTTCCTGAGAGTCACCAGCAGGGGGAAAACGTTCTGTTTCCGACGGGTCCCAGCGCATCGCCGCGAATTCCTTAACCCAAGGAAAGAAGGCGAGAGCGCCGGGTACATCTCGGTCGGTGCACGGAGGGAACTGGCCTAGAGGGGTCACTCGGACCGCAGAGACCCCGCGAAACGGAGTCTACCTATTCCCAGAGGCCGTCCCTTTTCGAGGCACACGGGTAACTTGGCTGGAACTCCCAGCTGACCTCTCAGCCCCACACTCAGGACTGCAGCAGCTCAGAGCCGCCTCCAAAGCGGCCCCGGCGGCGCAGGCAGGAGAGGCAAACCCTCGTCGGGTTCCCAGGTGAGCCCGTGCCCGAGTGCGAGCGGGATCCAGGTGAGCGTGCGCCCGAGTTCGCGAGTGACCAGGTGAGCCCGCGTCCGGGTCCGGAACGGAACCAGGGGAGCCCGCGTCCAGCCACTCTAGCATCTTGGTGGGAGTCGGGTCGTAGGACTCGAGCAGTCAGTGGGCAAAATGGGTTGAAGCCGAGAACGAAGCCCGCTGGTGGTTCAGGACACGGGCCTGGGCACAGCTGTGTGTTCCAGGGCCGGGGTGGGGAGCGGGGGGGGTGGGGGGGGGGCAGGAAATCAGAAAAGACCGCCTTCCACCAAGTGCGCTCATAGGATCACCCTTTCAGAATGAGCCCTGCTAATGAGGTGCTTGTCGCGGGAGGGCCGGGAGAGTGGGTTATTTCATTAATAAGTGCTGGACATGCATCCCTTTCTGGAGCACCTTGGCTACACCCGTGTATTTGGAATCGGCGGCAGAGCCTGGGTCTGTGCCCTTGAGTTTTGAATGACTGC